CCAAAGCTGAGCCAGCCTGCCCCAGTCTCGGGGAGGGAGTCAGCCTTGCCGAGAGGCACCGGCAGGCGAGGCAGGGCTGAGGGGTGGCTCCTGGGTTGGCAGGAGATGGGGAGCCAAAAGCCAAAAAGAAACCCCAGCCCCAAATGCTCAAGACTGAGTAGAAGTGCAGAGTCAGCACGTAACACGCGGTCCCTACTCCACCACCAGCTGCTTGGAGCTTTTAATGTGTATAGTTTTATTCATAAACCTTCAGAAAATCCTAGCAGTCCCACCATCCCATGGCCAGGACTTCCAGTTTAACTGTGGTGCGTAAAAGACAACATAGTTTTGCTTGAACTTGTCTTCTGCCAGCTTCACTTGGTAGCACTAAGCCTCAGCTGATTCTCCCCCCCATTATGAGGTCTGAAAATGGGGATTTTAAATGCATTTAGCAGCCTGCACATTACCAACATCCCGATGTTCGCCTGCTGTCACACAGGGAAGGGGGAAAACACAAAAGCTGAAGGAAAGCCTCTCCAGCTCCAGGGGCCTGTACTCCAAGTGACAACCGAGACTCAGCTAGGGCACTTGGCCACAGGAGAGGAAAAATGGTCTTCAGCCACAGCCTCTGCTTTACAGCATGTGACACAGAGGCACAGTGTGATGTTTCTAAAAGCAAATAGCTAAAAATATTAATTAAGAGGGAGTTTACCATATTGCCTCACAACAGAACCTTTTTTTCTGCCTGTGACCTTTTCAAAGGGACAATGCAAACAGTAAAAAATTTTTTAAAAAAGGAACTACTAAGCTAAGATCACAGTCTTATGACAGTTCATATGCTCACATTCACACTAGTTGCCTCTTCCTTTTTATTTAATACCTCTCTGTGTGTGCATATGTGTGTGTGTGTGTGTGTGTGTGAATGCACATGTATATATGAAGAACTTAGCCTGTAATCACACAGGCTCTGTAGGCTCCACGTTATTGTGATTTTTTTTTTTTTTTTACCACTGTGATTTTGCATGCCCATGGCTATATCTATACACTTCTCTGTTTTCAGGGGTTTGACAGCATCCGAAACAGAAAGTCTATTTAAAAAGGAGCTTATAAGCTGTTAGAAAGACCAGGCTTATCCCTTTTTTAAAATTTGACACTCTGTATATCTCCTACAGAAAAATATTAGCATTAGGAGAAAGAAAAAAATCACTATTATCTTCCAAAATGAAGATCTGACTATCTCATGTACTGTTTTTACACTCAAACACAGACAGGGCTGCAGTGCCGTAGAGTTAGTTGTTTTAAACCAGACCTGACAGAAAGATGGCTTATGATGGGCAGATAAAAGAAGAACGAGGCCCCTTGGGCTCTTTGGTGGTGTCAAATATCATTACTTTTCTTTGATTCTCTGGGAGCAAGTAACTACCTGAAAATTCTAGTGAGGGTTTTGTTGTTGGTGTTGTTTTTAAATGTGTTAAGCAAAGTCTGTTTTTGCACTCCATCTCTTAATGGAAGCACAGACTGTGAGACCCAAGTGCACCCTACAGGTTTCAAAATAAGATGCAAGCAGGCAGGAATCCAAAACATGCACCCCCTCGCCTTTTCTTTTTTTAAGATGGCCCATTTATTTCAAAGCCAGTCTTAGAATTAATTTCTGGAAAGAGAGAACAGGCTGCTTCTTTTCAAATGTTTGATATGGGCAATACCAGCATTCATATACCTGATGGTAAAGGGGACTGCAGGTTCCGCTATGGAAAAAAAAAAAAAAAAAAAACAAAACCAAAACCCAAGCCCAAAAAGCAGGGGTGAGGAGAGAGGGGGAGTGCAGCACATTTGCTAAATGCTGCGTGGCTGGCTGCTAGGTCGCTCTCTGGGCTGAGGGCTGGTGAAGCTGCTGTTGCTGCCGTAGCGGGAGGGACCGAGCAGCCTTTTCCACCGAGCGCTGACGCCGAGCCGCCGGCTGACATTCCCATTCCCAACTCCAAGCCGTGTCTCTGGCCACTGATCAGCGCTGTGCCCCAGGCCCCAGGCCCCGGTCACGTTAAATCATTTCCCAATTGTTTTTCAGGGGTGAGAAGAGCAGGATGGGGAGAGGCTTATGAGTTGCTAGAAACAATCACTGCGGTTTCTGAGAAATTTTCTCTTCATTCATTTTCAATGATTAGCAAGGTATTCTGTCATTCAAGATTTGCATTACCAGAGGTGAGTCACCAAAGGCAGGAAACAAGACGTGCAGAGAACACCCCCACGGAGCGGGGTTCTGCACATCAGTGCCTGTCCCTGGGTGGCTAGCAGCTTTTCCATGCCTGCCTCGGCGCTCTGGAGGCATCTGGGTGACCTCCAAGGAGCTGCCTTCAGCAAGGGCTTCGGGAGGTGTCAGCCTCTGTGGCGTGGCTTTTGCAGCTGGGGGGTTTGTACAGGGCCCAGGCGGCCCCGGGACGCCACTGGAAACCAGTAGCAATTCTTTCCCTCTCAGCATCACCTCACGGCCCTTGCTGATGCCACCGTTCAGAGACCCCTCAAACGCCAACCAGCATTTTTTTTGTGCAACCTGGAATAATTTCTGATGTTCTCTGCAGCTTTAGAATTAAGATTACACATCTGTTTTGCGTTGATTTGCACAGAAAACCAGGCTGTCATTTAAAAAGTAACATTACTGTTACTTTAAAATGGCACGTGGCTCTACTTTTTATCAGGGAATTGTGGTGCTATGAAACATTAGCCAATGGCCTTGAAAGCAGGACTGTAGAAAAAAAAAAAAAAGACTATTAGAATTATATATATTCAGGTAGAAGTGAAAACATTCACTGAGAGAGAACAAGGAATATGACTTCTTCCAACAAATTTATAAAAGCACCAGATCAGTAGCTGATCAGTCAGGGAAAACGTTGGTTCAGGGTTACAATTTAGAGATGACAATTGTGCTGCATCATACAAGATGAATCAGGTATTAAGAGTCTCTGACCAACTGCAAAGTAGAGGGACTGCCTCCCCAGCACATGAGCAAATGTTATGGGAGACACAAAACCAGGAATTTTTGGTCCAAGAGTGATCAAAGCCATAGGCAAGCATTACACCGACCGGTTTAGTCTTTGTGCAAAGCTGTGCTGTTTGAGGGAAAACCAGGTACTGACAGTTTTTCTGCTCCCTTCTTGCCGATTCCAGGTGGGGAAGCCCCCGCGAGTCAGGGATGGGGTGGTAAGAGGGAGGAGGAGGCAGGGCTGCCTCCACCTGAATTCTTGTCTGTCCTGGCTGGGGCTGGACTAGAGTTCCTGTTGTTTTTAGCAGCAGGAGGAGCTGCAGCCCCGAGACCCCAGGGGCTCCCCAGGGCCCAGTGCCCTCACCTGTGTGCGGGGGCGGGGGGAGCACAGCTGGAGGGCTGGGCCCCGATTGGCCGATAGTCCATGTCATGTGACATTGTGCTCACTATATAAAGGCAGGAGAGGGCTGAGAGAGGCTGTCACTTCTGGGAGTGTGGCTGTGGGGCCTTGGTGTTTGGGATCGCTGGCCGGGAGCAGGTGGGTGGTGAGCAGCTGTATTGTACATTACCCATTGGTACTGCTGTCAGTGTATTGTTCTGTTACTATTATTAAACTGTTTTTATCTCAACCCACGAGTCTCCCTTTGCCCCTCCGATTCCCTCCCCATTCCCAAGTGGGGGGAGGGTGGGTGAGCGGCTGCGTGGCGTTTAGCTGCTGAGTAGGCTCAAACCACAACATTGACACAATTCCCACACTACTCCCTTCCATCAAAGTCAAGGCTTAACTAATTTTTAGATCATTAAGCTGTCTTTGAGAGATGAAATAAGACCAAAGTGAAAGATATTATTTTCATTAGAGGTCCTCATCTATTCTCACTACATCTGGAAAGCTTTTAAAACGATTGGTTTATAAATCTGGAAAAAATGACACGGGTGGAGCTACTTCATCTTGCCAATTCTCTCTGTATTTTGGACCCTTTATTGCATCAGCAAGTTTTTGCTTTGGGGAGATTACAGTACACAGAGAAACCCTGTGTATTTCGATGCTTCTTAGCTATAGCATCATGATGAATTCATGGGACATAAAAATGACAACCCAAGAAAACCCTAACGCGCAGCAGGTGTATGCCTGAGCGCTAGGACACGTCTAGAGTTTGTACATTCAGCCTTTTGCCTTCCTAGGGGGAAAGTCGCTTCCTTCCTAAGCAGTTTGATGAAATAGCTGGTGTCAGTCCAGGACACTGGCTCACAGCTGCGTCGCACTGTTGGTAGTCTACCAAGGAAGGTCCCTTCTGATCATCCCAGGCTCTAAAATCACAGGGTATGCACATTCAGTAGACACACTCTGTGAATCATTCAGCAGAATTAACAGCCTGCGTGAGCAGTGATGACTGCAATCATATTTGAACACGCAAATCATCTCTAAAAGGTTTTACCTTTTCGTTTTTAATAGGCTATTAAGTGTGGAACTAGAAGAGAAGCATAAATAGGACAGTAGTGAAACAGTACATAACACGAATGATTTGAAAGTTCCAGCTTACCTAGAATTGAAGCCTTGCTCTGCGTGTGTGCACACACACGTGTTCACGTGCACACATATGGAAACCTGCAAGACTGAGATTATAAATAAGACCCACCTGTATGTGAAGTTAAGAGCTTTTATTTCTGAACATGAGGGGAGACTAACAAAAGATTAATGGAGAAGACTCCTTTAGGGTCTTGGCATACATTAAAGGGTCAGTAATTCCTAGTTTTGTAAGTGTTTTATCACTTCCTGTTCTTCTGGAATCTGAAATAAATCCCAAACATGCCTCTGAATCATCAGGTGGGTGCTTCAGATACTCCAAAACAACTCAGAGCCATCACAGGAAAGCACTGACAGTAGTCCAAGTATTGTGACAGTCTTGCACAAAATTGTCGCCCACACGCACAGAAATTAGAAACTCTTTTTCCTCCCTTATACCTTTTTTTTTTTTTTTTTTTAAATGGATTTCACCATAAGAAATTATATCATCTTTCTAGTATAATTATTGTAAACAAGTGATAAGTTTGTGGCAAAGCCAGTTTATTAGGTTTCTGGGATTGTGTCTTACCCTCCCCCCAACACATACAAAATAACCCAACTTTACAATTTGGTAAAGTGAAAATACATATACAAAGTATTCAGCACATCTGACATCAACGTTGTGCCGAACGTTACCACTGCAAGCCAGGAAGCATACTGAATCCTGCATTAATGACCACGTTACCTTTAGGGCAGAACCATTAAAACATGCTTTGTGCTGAAGGCAAAATTACATACTTAATCATTGTTTCCACAGAATTTTAATTATACAAGGGCCCTTATTTACAGGTTGTAACTCAAAGTTTAACAGATTTGCAGATGTTTGGTATCAAATTTGAACAGTAACGTTGTAGCTACATAAATTCCTTACCTCAACCCCAACCTGACTGACCAACTTTGGAATTCTATATTCTTTTTCTTATTAAAAAAAAAAAAAAAAGAAAAAAAAAAAGAAAAAAAAAGAACGGTTGCTGACACACTTATTGTACAAATAGTTAAGATGGATCCTTTTGAGAAAAAAGATTAAGGGCATGAGTGAAAAACATTGTCCAAGAGGACTGTAAACCATTCTTATTTACAATAGTATACACATAAATTTAAGGTCAATCCTTTTCTTAAAAAAAAATCATTAAGGACACTAGTGTTAAAAAGCTGATTGTTTCTGAAAGCACTGTAAACCAAATTCTAGTCATGTAAAGTTCAGAGTGAATACAAAAGTTCCCTTTTACAAATGTTTCCTAAACAAAATTACTGTCACAGTCATAGCAGCTTTATATAGGAAGAAAATATTACCTTTTGCTTAGATTCCTTTTAAACATCTTAATCGTATTAGACCAAATTGAATGCTTTTTCTAAATCTAGAAAAAAGTCAATGCATTTTTATTTTGTCAGTATAACTTGCAATAGAATTACATCTTATTAACTGTAATAGTTTAAATAATATTAGTTATCTTGTTTCAGTAATATGATTCTAAGGCAATCACTAGGGTGACAGCTTCTGAACTGGTCATTCTGTTTAGTTTCCAGTCAGTATCACATACTACACATTGCAAATCAAAAAAAAAAAATCTTAATTTTTACTTCAATTCCTTTAAAAACTGAGTCCCAAAACATTGTTTGATATGGCAAATGAATGAAGTCATAGGTTGCACTCTATGGCTTACATTTCGCTTTAGGCCATTACATGCAACCTAGCACCATTTTTATTACGAAACTAGACCTTCAGACAGCACTGAAATAAAACAGTTGCAATTATAAGAACACAGAAGAAGATGGTTCTAGAGGAGTAATTTCCCTCATCTGACCCAACACATTACTAACTCACATTAGTAATGCCAAGGATGCCCCACATACAGCCATGACATTACACAAGCAGGTTTTAGCTCAAAAACCTGTAAGAGATGATGTATTTGGCAGGCTTTCTCCATATTTCAAGACCCAATTTATTTTGTATTCAGAAGTATTTTACGGAAACCCCATATTCCTAACATTCTGTCTGAAGCATTTCCATCCCTAAAATATGTTATGAAGTTGGTTGTAAAAAGCTTTTTCAAGGTATTTGAAAAGCATTCATCATCACTAAAATCCTCTGAAACTCCAGTCTTTGAGAACCAGTATGCTTTTGCCAACTCCACTCTATCTTTTATTTAGTTAAGTACCCTGGGACACTCAATTCAAATACAGTGTCCTTTGATATAAATCCCTGTTGAAGTTTTAGTAAGGTCAGAGAAGTCATGGGCAGTTATAGTCCAAATTTACCCCATATTCTGTGCTACAAGTACTATCCATAAGAAGGAATGTACAGTTTAGTTTTCCATGCTAATTATGAAAAATTAATGAAGCTTTAAGTATCAAATAATTGTCTAGAGGTAGGGACAAGTTTATCAACTCTCTTATCATTGCCATGAAGACACTGACCAAGTTTACAGTGGAATGACAGGCCAAAAGCTAGCAGTTTGCACCTACACTGACAGCCGAAACTTTATCTGACAGTGTTGGCTCTTGTTTTTAAAATAAAAAGGTACTTGCTTAGCAATTTTCTAGCAGTCCCCAAATATTCCTTCACATGCCAAAAATCTCCCCACTTGCTGACCCAAAAATCAAACGATCTGGCTGTCACAAAACACTTTTTCTCCTACATTATTCCAATGCAAGTAGCAACAAAAAATGTGAGTAAACTGGCTTACTATTTATAACCCTACCACAAGTGATGAAAACAATCTCAGGCAGCAAGAGCTCAAGTGGAATTGCTTTGTCAAAACTACACTTGAAAGTCTACTTTCCCATACATTTATAGTGAAACTTCAGTATTTCAGAAAGTACAATTACAAAGTGCAAGAACATGAGATGGGCACATCTACACCAGGAGAGAAAACACATTAAAGTGCCACAGAGATTCGCCATAATTGCTACCAGAACCTGGAACTTTGCCAAGATCATAATTTTGAAGTATCTGCAAACAAGACAAGGTGATACCTGGTAAGAGTATGATTTAACACCAGCAGGTCATGGCAGGTTTTGGTTCAGGCTTTATATGTATCTCATCACGATCTGGGGGTTGACTAAGCATTAATGGCTTGTGACTCTTAAGCTTGTGAGCCAGTGTCATAAATATGGCCTCCACATGGTCATTGTCATTGGGGTTTTTGGCAGAGGTTTCAAATAATGGCATACTGTGAGTATCAGCAAACTTCTGGGCCAAGTCCGTAGGTACCTGAATAGCACTTCTCAGGTCACATTTATTTCCAACAAGAATCCGTGGTATGTCACTGGCAAGAAGGTGTTGTTTGCATTCCTCTATCCAGGACGGCAGACTGTGAAAACTGGCAATGTTTGTCATATCATACACAAACACAACAGCATGTACATTCCTGTAATAGTGCTGCACCATGCTCTTCCTGAAGCGCTCCTGGCCTGCCGTATCCCATAGCTGGATCTGAAAAGGGGAAGACAACAAGGGGAAAAAAACACCATTTTTATTACTTATGTTGGAAAATAATATAAGTCACCTGTAGCTAGGCGAGTCACACAATCACATAAGTCCACTCTTCTGAATTAATCATACTGAAAAGTCTGCACTAAAGAAAATTGTTGCTTTTATACAATTTCACAAACTATTGCTTTCAAAGCTGCCCATAACTGAAGCCAGGAAGAAATGATGATGCAATCTGATCACACATATGAATTTCTGAAAGTTTGCTGGAACATGCATTCTGCAAGGTTTTTACAAAAACAAATCCTGAAGCCTTGGCAATAGCACTTCTCTTTGAGAAAACAACATGTATTTCACACCACAGCTCTTGGCCAAAAATAACATCATCTTCCCCAAAGTTTTGTTCTTATCAAGAGGTTAACTGCCTATTTGCGGTACGATATCAAAGTAGGGAAAAAAAAAATCAAATCAAATCAAATCAAATCATGCATGTATAACTCCACCAACAACAAAAACAGGACAAAGAAATCTTTCTCTACAGTGTATCTATCGGAATCTAACCCTCCTGTGATGAACCTCCAACTTAAGCTTGTTTAATGCTTAAACTAGGACTGTACTGTGGTTTGCAGTACTGAGGCATGCCTAAAAGTAAACATAAATAAATAAACAAACAAACCTCCTGTTAGCTTGACATGCTACTGTTATTTCCAGGTACGCATCATTCTATCCTAGATAGACTGAACATATTTGTTGGAAGCCCTAGTCAGTGTAACGGACAAAAAAAACACTCAGAGGAACTGAAATGCTTTCGAACTTCTCCGGTCCAGATTAAAACAAAACAAATCAAGCCTTACATCTGCCTGTATTCTTCAAGCAACAACTGATCAAAAATTTAAATGAATCCCTCATCCTGGTATAATGGAAGTTTGGTGTCCTCAGATGCACAGAGTACGCTACAGAACCGTGCACTTACTGGACACAGTGATATTTTACCGGACTTGCTCTCCAGGCGATATGGGACTGCAACATACAGCAGTCAGAGCCAGTCCAGCTTCAACGCTAGATTAACTTTACACTGTAAGAAATAAACCAGTGTGTGGCTCTATCACACAAACCTTACTGATGGTGTTAACACTGAAATACAATGTTCAATTTCTTGAGTCAAAGCTGAGTCCTAGTCTGTCCTGTCCAGCTGATCCCTCATGGCTGAGGCAGTTTGATTAGTCCTTTAGCTTTTAACTTTTTGAGCTGAAACTCTCAGAAAGAAATGTTTCCTCCCTGGGAATGAAAGAAGAGTTTTTCTTCAGACTCAGAATTCAAGGCATATTAAATGTTCTGTAAACAATTAAGGTAAATTTAAAATTCAATCTGTTCCCATGAAAGGTAGAGCCAATATCTTCCCTTGATAAAATTGTTCTTCCATTACCATAGTTCTGCATTCCTTTGATCCCAATGTTTCAGTAAAACTTACTTAGAAATTGTGTCTTGAAAGTTGCCTTGTTTACCATTTTTAGCAGTGACTTTTTAAAAGAAAGGAAACCGAAGTGCCAGGGAAATTTGCTGATGGCAAGAAGCTAAGATGCATCACTGAGAGAGGAAGATTATAGTATCACAATTTTTTTTTTTATTTTGGAACAGTAGAAATAGGGTGCAACTGAACAGAAGCAGATGCACAGTCTTGATAACAGTGACTAATAATAAAGACCTTTCCTGTAAGTGCAGGATTCATCAATTTGGAAATTATTAAAATGGATGACGATCCAGATACACAAGTCAATCACAGGACATTATGAATCACTAATGTGATAGAGTGAAGGAAACAGAATAAATGATGTTTCAGGATGGTGTGACTTTTCTGCAGTATTATGTTCAACCCTGGTCACTCATCCTCGAGAAAAACTCAGACTGGAGCGGGTGGAAATGGCAGTTACTGGTTTCATCAGGGGAACTGTGAGTTTACATGAGAACATCAGAACAGCTTGGCTTCTGTGGTCTGGTCCAGTTACCTGCAGCTTCTGATCCACAGACTTACCCATGTGCTGCTTCTAAAGCGGTCGTTAAAGTTATTAAGAAAAGGCAAGCTGCCCTAGCCTCTGATCACAGAAAATGGTAGCCAGTTGCAATCCATCTCATTTTAGAGCAAAGAGTCACTTTTGCCAATGGTATTACACTCTAAACACAATTGTCTGCATCTCCATGGTCTGTTAAGGAAATCTGGACAATCAATCAGATTAAATATAGGTACCTAAATCTGGGTAAGATTCATTCACCTACGCAGATGAGAGACATTTCTAGTTCTATGTATTTATAAAATATTATAAAGTCAGGAGACTCACAGAAAATATTCATTAATTTGGAATTTGACAAATTAAAGAGAGAAGAAGGAAGCACAGACTGAAGTAATCCTTATGTTCAGACAACATAATGTTAAGGAATCACTACAGATAATCTTGGAAAATGCCGTATCAAATTAAATTAAAGAGGGAGCTCATTTTCACAGACAGCTGTGAGCTTACACTTCTCTCCCCACATCATTCAGAGAGCAGAAATCAGTCACGCTTCAGTCAAGCACAGATCCACAAGTATATTGCCAGCCTTGGGTAGAAAAGGGGAAATTAAATTAAAGGTTTACCTATCTTCCAAGTTAGGCTTAAACTACAGTTCCTCCTAAATTTTATTTACATGCAGCTTTCAAGCTTGAAGGGCATTATCTTACATTAAAAATGTTAATATTCTTGGCATGGAATCATTTGCATCGAGACGCAAAGCCTTCCCCAAGATTAAAAATTTCACACTTTAGAAGTTTAGTTTTTCCTCTTACCAGGTGAACTTGAGGAGACCACTCAACTTCTGCCCGCCCCCCCCCCCCCCCCCCCCCATCTGCTCTACTGAAAAACAACACTGACAGTGTTCAGGTTAATAGATGTGCATTGATGAACGAAGATTACTGTTTCGTTATTAGTTCAATACCATCCACTATCAAGGGAGCACATTTTTTTTATAATAGCCCTTTAAAATGTGTGATTTGAAAATTTGGTTTAACAGCATAATTCAGCTAATAAAACCACGGATGGAATCACTTTGTTACACTCTCTAGGAAAGACAAATGTTACTTATATATATTGACTCAGCTATCACCTCCCAACTTCTGACTCCTTTTCGTGGATCCAGAAAAGCTGTCTTCTGAATAATGACTCCCTTAGCATGCATGGTTTATAACAAGCTGGTAAAAACACAACTGGCCTTCAATAAAGACAAAACGGTAAACTATGTCTCCTTTTACAAGGTGTGAGGAAAAAAAACTTGAAGAGTTCAAAGGTACAGAACATGATGTTTCGACTTTCTTCCTTGAATATCACTTGCGTCCTTTGCTGTTTTAATGTAGGTCAGTACAGAGTGACATCATCGTTTTCTTCCATTTTGAATGCTTACATCAATTTAGGAAGAGGAAAATTTAGAATGCAAAAAATGCATTTGTTGAAAACTTGAATTTATTCATCACATCTAGGTATTAGTGTTTCACAGGAAGCTGTTAGCCTACTGTACAAGCTACAAAAGAATACACTCGTCCCTATGTCTTAGAATTCTACACAACTGCTGTGTGGGAGCCCCCCGGCGAGAAGAACCGTGCCCGTGTTGCTGCCAGTGACACAGCATTTTTCCAGCTGCAAGGGAAATTCTCAGTACTGTAGCAGTGCAAGAACGACCATCCAGCTGGCTGGGGGAAGGGAGAAGAGAGAAAGAGAAAACACTACTTTATAATCTCCTTCAATGTGAGAGGAAAAATTCCTCTGCTCAGCAGGCCCTTCAGGACACAGCAAGAACAGCAGTAATTCGGTTCATCTGAGCTTCTCTCTTTCCTGGTTCAACAGGCATTGCTGGAGCTCGCTGCTACAAGCAAGAAAAGTGAAGATGATGGGTGAGAGGAAGTGGCAAAAACCAAAAATGGGTGCATACCTGCTGACACACAGGATCCCCCTAAGAGCTAGAGTCCTGGCTGTAATGATGAAGTTTATTCCTTTTAAAGCTGAAACACAACTTCCTGGAAAACAACGTGTCTCTGAAGAGCCTCCTTCAGTTCTCTGCCTCCCTCAACCAGAACTGATATATTCAACAGGTAATATTCTTAAGAACGCAGCAAAACAATCTACCACAATGTATGTAACAAAATGGCATAATAACCTATGTGAAGCATCTTGGAACTCTGGATTAGGCTACATTCTTCTTTACTGTTCTCCAACAAAGGCCAGGAATAATCCAGAGGTGGCAAAAATGCCAGTCAATAAGATGGTGCTGACAAGAAGATACCCCTCAGGAGGTTCTCTCCTCCATCATGGATGGCAACAGACCAGGGAGTACAGAATCTGAGCTAACAGCCAAATAAGTGCTATCCGGTGGTTTTATAAAGAAAAAGAGTTACAAAGACTGTTACTCATTTTTCTTTTTTAGTTAAAAAGAAGGCAGGCTATGAGGTGCAAAAACACAAAAGAAGGGAAGCAAATGGACTTTTATGACCTCCGCAATTTCTTAATTAGTAAGTAAGCGAGGAAAAACCATAGCTTTCAGCTACACGACCATAAGCTGTAAGTACAAGGCCTGGTGAGAATAAACGCAAAAGTACAATTCCAAGACTACTGTTACTCCCTTTTTCTATACATTACTAAACTTTGCTCATAGAAACAAACTGTAATAGAGAAGTAGAGGGGGATTCTGTTTAAAACCATGTTACTCCTAGTAAACAAGCTGCATTTGTAAGTGGCTAGTAGTCTAAGCTGCAAATGACTGTTAGGGTCACCATGAGCATTTGTGTATCTCACTGGGCAGACTAGGTGTATTTCATATACTTTTAACATTTGCTTTACAGTGCAAAGGTGTCAAAAGAGCAGTTTTTCCTCCCATCTGCCTTTTCACTAAATTTAGTTTTGTAAGACTAAGCTTTAGCTAAACCTATAATCAGAGTAAAAACCAACAGTCAAATGCAAGCTAGGTATCCAACCTGTCACTGTCCAGTTCTGTACCACATTTGCCTGAACAGGCACCAGCAGTCTTAACAGAATCCTAAAAAAAAATTAAGTGTAAAAGTTGTAACACGTTGCTATCACTGATGCAGCAGTTGATTCCTGAACAACGTTCTATTTCTTATCGGGGCTTTTTTAAAGCTGAATGCTCTTAACAGTGGCATCCACGTAGCTTTGCAGACTTGAAGGGTAATCCCAGTAAACGTGATTCTTGATAAACAAGAGGAGCAGAATGCCTGGAAGGCAGCGAGCTGCTGATACAAGGCGCAGCTGACAGAAGAGTACTAGTAATAAGAGATCTACCTCGAAGGCCGTTTTAAGGAGGAATTATTGACCGAGACCTGCCCAAAAGCTGTACAGAGATTTGGCCTCTAGTAGAAATCTTCCATCACCGTAGAAAGCTACCTAGAAACCACGTTCCCGGCGGGAGCAAGACAACAGAAGTCTTTAAGAAAGCTGCGGAGCGGACAGAGCCGAGGCCACCGGCTCTGCACCACAACCGCCCTCACCATTCGGGCGGGAGGGAGGGCGGCAGAACCCCCGCTCCCCCCTCCCCAGTCCCCCCAAGTTCCCCCCCCCCCCCGGCCCGGCGGCACCTTGATGCGCTCGCCGTCGATGGTGACGGCCCGCTCGCGGAAGTCCACCCCGATGGTGGCCTCGGTGCGCTGGGGGAAGCGGCCGGCGCAGAAGCGGTAGGTGAGGCACGTCTTCCCCACGTTGGAGTCCCCGATGACGATGATCTTGAAGATGCGGGAGCGCGCGGGGGGCAGCCCGCCGGGGAGCGCGCCGCTGCCCGTCAGGCTCAGCTCCAGCGAGGACTCCAGGTCGGCCGCCATCATCGCGGCGGGGCGGGGGGGGGGGGGGCCGCCAGCCGACCTACCCTGAGGGACGGGGACGCGACCGGGCCGCTCTTACTATTTTCTTCCTCCTTTTTCTCCTCCTCCCCTCCCCTGCCGCGCGGCGGGCGGGCGCGCGCCCGGCGGCCCGTTAACCGCCGCCCCGAGCGCAGCCACCGGCCAGCCCGCACCGCGCGCGCGCCGTTACGGCACGGCACGTCACGTCACGTCACGGCGCGCCCCGCTTCCCGCCCCGCCGGCTGCGGTGGGAGGAGGCTCTCGCGAGATCTCGCGGGGACTGAGGGCGTCCGGAGGGCCCCGCGGGGCGCACGTCATTGCTCATCTGTAAAAACAACGGGCTAGGTCAAAAAAACCCCAAAACAAACAAACAAAAAAACCCCACAAACAAAATGCCCTGAGTTCAGAGCGACTTTAGTTCCAGGGTCTGCCTCAGTTCTTGTCATTCCCTTTTCCCCTACCTTGGACCAACCTAATGGACAATTAGAGAAGTGCCTCCACCTCATAGTCCGCTTCTGAGACAATCTCCCTCTGTTTCTGCTGTCAATTTATTAAAGAGGTTGTGCCACCCTCGAGTTCTTACTGTCCCTTCTACAGAATCGCACCTTTCTGGAGCCAGAATGGGATACGGGTTTGGCTGAGGACAGGGAGCACAAGCAAGCACCGCTATACGGCCTAATGATTAAAGTAGAAGAGAAATCCTAATTATAGCAGGGGATGCTCTGATCTGGGCTCTGGCTAGCATGCTAAAAGGAGATTTTAAACAGCTGTTTGGCACGTCGGCCAACGGCTCATTTAACTGAGTTTGATCTGGGTTATGCCAAGAGGGCTAAAGTGAGTTATAATTAGATCTGAGCTCTTCAACAACTCTGAATGTCTTTTATTTCAGTGAAGACTCTTTTTAACAGCAGAATCGTCACACCATCTAGAGGCCGAAGGCATTCCTAGCCATTAGATTTTTATGCTTATTTTACACTGATGCCCCCAAGGCCCTGCCTGTGATTTTGCCTCTCGCTACTGGCAGCAGCCACGCCAGGTTATGTTTTGTTAGCCATAAGACAGGCAGAACCGTCTTCATGGCACTGCTTTGGGACACATCTGGCCCCTGAAATAATGGACTTGAAGTAAATACCTTCTGAGAGTTTAAATACTGTCCTGGAGGGGGACAATATGTAAAGATTTTGCTCAGGGTTTCTAGGTACAGAAAAGTAGTCTTTACGTAAAAGAATGCACAGTTCTTCCAGGGGTCAAAATAAAATCCCGAGTGCAGTTAATGAAGCCCCTCATCTGCTTAAGGTTTCTTGGTGGGACTCAGTATTTGCCTGCTTGCCTTGCAGCAGCTTGCCTTAGCTTGAGCTAGTAAAAGTACATGTGGGAGTTTTAACTGTCCTTTTTGAACTTCCCTATTATTCCAGTCATGAGATCTCCTGATCAGCCTTAACAAATCAGGGATTTGACACGAGGCGACTTCACCCATCCCACCCATTCCCCCTTTCTCCAGTAAAGCTGTTTCTCCAGAGCAGAAGTTTGGGGGGGGGGGGGAAGGTGGCTTCCCATCGAGAGGACAGCAGTCACTGCCTCTGTTCTGTGCTCGGCGCCCAGATGTCACTGCCCTTCTGACTCGTGGTAAGAGGGAGATGGAACGGTCAGTTGATTTACACGGGCAGACACATCCAAACTGCATTGCTTCAGCCAGAATTCCTAAGCTGTGTAGAGACTTCTTAAATCTCTAAATATCCCAGGGACTTGGCCCAGGGTCAATGGTCACACTGGGTAAATGCCCCAAGGACAGGGCGGCTGGCAGTTGGCGTGACCTCCCTATGTCTCCTCACGGAACTGCTCTTTTCCGCACACTCTTCCAGCCCAACTAGAAATCCCAAGGCCCCGTTCTGCAGAACAGCAGGTGGAACATGCACCATTTTCAAATCCTGTTGAGGCTGAGAGATACCTGTCCCATAGCAATCAACAGTTAATTGCTAGCACTTAATTCCACACACTTCAGCTGAAGGATAACCAAAACTTCATGTATGCTGCGTATGCTACACAAAGGTCAAAACTTTCTGTTCTCCAGGCCAACGGCCTTCAGTACATGTCATTTAGTCCATCTGTCTGCAGCTCACAAAAAGGACAAGCTACGTTTCTATCAGGTATAGCCTGAGCAGCATGAAACTAGATTAAATATGAAGAGATTAGTGTAAACAGCTGTTTCAAGTTCATGGCCTGCTGACTTCTGGGTATGTAAACCCATGCAAACCTGATGCAGTGTTGTTTTGGTATGACAATTAAAACCATTCCAGCTTGGCTGGAGCAAAAATCCAGCTAGCCTGCTCTCCTGCCTACTGTGAGAAGAGGAAGCTTAAAGGAAGACTGCAAGAACAAGGGGAGAAGAGAGCCTGTTTTTACACCCTCAGGACTTTTGCAGATCCATGGTGAGGGATTTCACAAACAGAAACTGCATCAAAACTGTTCCATTGAAAGTCAGCCTTTGTATAAGAACAAATATTCTGGATACACTTAATCTGCAAATTAAAAATTATCTTACAACTTATTTTAAAGTTGATCCTCTAACTGATTTAAAGTGCTCTACCAACAGCTGTAAAGTAGAAAATCTGTGCTTAAAGCAGCTTTTGAACTTAAAGTATATCACAATATTATAGAGTTCTCTCTTTGAATGATTATTGTTTTGCAGTGCCTACATAAAAGCAGCTTACAAATACACTTAATAGCTTGAAGGATTTTTAGATCAATCCATGCAACTCTTAAACAGAAAACCTCACTCTGGTTAAGTCAGAAGTACACTGAACTAGGTCACCTGTCCTTTTTTAAGTGTAAAAAAAACCCCAAACAACTCATATGACATTGAACTCCAAAGAGGAGTGAAATGTCAATAAACAGTGAAAGTTACTGGGTACCTCTCAAAATTTCTTTCCAGCTTTCTTTGTAGGGAACAGTCACACTAGTAGTTTTCATGCATCTTCTGTAATGGCTTCTTCTCACTATGAAAGGTGCTTATCTTACAGCAACAAGTGCAGAGGAGTTATTCTGAAGTTAAAAAATATAAAATCATCAGCAAAGCCCTGTCTTAATTTTACAGCAAGGTTAACTACTGATGCCTCAGCAACTCTGATCCACAGTAACTGAGGTATTCTGTTTTCACTGTGTTTTTCTACCTCAGGCTCTTTTATGCCAGTTGGTTGCCCTGAGGTGAAGTACACAGCCCTTTTTCAGCAGAGAAGGCCAGCCCTGGATGAAGTGTGCTAGGTAACAATGTTTTCCAAATGCAAGCCAGAACAGCATTTTCCAAAATTTTGAGAGATGTTTTCAGTGCTACAGGAAAAAGGTCAGTTAACATATTCCCAATTGCTCTCCCATTTCCCCCTTGCTAGATAGCGGTGCAGGGGGTGGAACTGCACTTCTGGAAATCCCCACCGACCAAAGCACTTCTCGCTCTGGAAGTACAGGGATGTGGCCAAACGAAGTTGGAGGTAAAGTATTTCTTTGCAAGTTCTCTATAAAGAGATGGAGGACCATACAATTCCTTGGAGGTCCCCAGCCGTGAAACAGCAGGCTACAAGGCCAGATCTTCTTAATTAGCGATGTGTTAAAGATTGATGGTTAATGCAGTAACTCCCATGCAGGGAGATCTCAGGAGATTCTTGGCTTAAGTCACTTTCATATGAGCTATTTCAGTGTAGTACTGGAAATTTCATCACTTCTGGTATGTATGTAGGGATAAAGATGTTGATTAGATCATTACATTTCATCCAGCACAGGCTATTTCTGGATGTCCCTTTCTAATATATTTGGAGACCAGCAAATATAGTTGAATTTATTCATAGTAACAGAATAAATTAAAAATGCTTCTTGCTATCTAAGCATTTGAAAAAGCTTTTGTTTTTCTTCTTTTGGAAGGACAAGTACTTTTAATATGCTATTTAGATGTGTTCAGTGAATGAACGTACAAGAGCCTAGAGTTCACAGTTATTTTTATTTAGCAGATGTAGAAGTTTCTAAGGAAGGGGATTCTGAAAATAGTTGCAAGTCTCTGGACTTGCTCAGCATTTCAGAATAGTCATTTCTGTCTTCCCTTGAAGACACGTTTATATTTGTCAGTCCCATGAAAACGGAGACTGTTCAATATCAAAATAGGAAAAAAGTGTAAATGTAAGACTGTCTCATATTGCTACTTATTTTCTGAAGGGATCAGTAAGTTTCCAAGTGTGTCCTTTTGATCCTGGTAGTTTAATGACAAGCAGTTAAAATGCTTTTCATGTTTCTGCAGAGATACTGTATCTCTGACTTCCGACTTCCTCTGGGGGCTTTGTCCTTTTGTGCAAGGCCTTGCGTCCTCCATCTTTGCGGAGAAAAGCCCTCTGGTTCTGCAGAGAGAAGTTCTGCTATTGCAAGACCTGACTCCACAAGTCTAAGAAGAGTTTGACCTCCCATTAACATGTTCCTTTATGATAAAATACAGATGGCAGAAATGATGCGTCAACAAAGGACAGCTTTTAGGAGATTGGATTTAAGGACCCTGTAGGTCAGGCTCTTAAAGCAGACTGAAAAAGCAATTATTAACATACCCTGTTGAAATCACAAAGCCGAATGTCTCATCTGTCTTGCACTGAAATAAAGTTTTGACACAGCTGCTTTTACTGCCAGTTACTAGAATGTGACACTCATTTATTTCTGTGCCCCTGTTCTTGTAAAAATGATGAAACTAAAAGCTTGAAGGAAATAAAAAGAAAGAAAAGTTTTTCCATTTCTGGCTTGTGCTTGGATTTTATTCTCTGCATGTCTGATGAGAGATTGGGGCTTTAATGTTCAGATCAGTGTATGTTTTCAGTTGTCTGGATGGTAATAGGCCTCATCCACATCACAGTCTTTATCTGACAGAAACCTTACAGCCCCTGCTGTGAGAATCCCCTGCCAAACACGAGCAGAGAAAGGCTGGACCCTTAGTGTTAAAGGCAACATCTGCAGCTTTACGAGTAAGTTTAATAGGAGCACCCACTTGACACCCCTGCTCACAGGGCTGGGAATGGCTGCGGGATCGCGTCTTCAGTGCTTGAAATGTGGCTTGGCCATTCGGGTCTGTGTGGAAAGGTAACGCCGTGCATCTCTGGGATGACAGTGACTGAAGTAACGAGCCCTTTGGCCTCTCAAGGTAGCTGAGGTGATAACAGAGTCACTTCCATGTG